AGAATCCTGCCCATGAGATTTTCTAAGTGAGGTTCTTATGCCCCAAACCCAGTCACCTTGCTGATTAAATGAGGAGGAAAGGACAAGGTGTCCAGAATCTTTCTTATTAGGTACAGGAAATCAGGGCATGCGTTAGGGAATGCTGATTTGGCCTCACAAGTAGGAGAAAGTCTGTTTTTAAAGTGAGAAGATCTAATAAGGAGTTATATTATCAGACATGCACAGCTGAGTCTTGCTTGGCAAAAGGAAGCTTTCCACATTATCTCACTCACAAGAAATAGAGGGCAGATCAAATTTAGTAAACAGCCTTCCTCAGAAGTGGTAGCTCCCAGGATAGGTTTTTGGGAATGTTCTACCTTTTCCCTAGAAGGACCGTTTTAATTAGCTTAACAATTGGGTGAGTATATGATCTGAGAAATAATGTGAATTCCTATGAGTGTGTGATTAGTGCACTCCAAATTCTAAGAACTTAAGTTTCCCTGCAGACTAAAAAGATACCAAATCCCCCTCGCCTGCAAGGACTCCCCAGTGATCCAGAATTTGCAAGCTCCTGCACAGAGTCTGCTAAAATCTTCACTTTAAACCTGCTCACATCTTATCTCCATCTGAGATTCAGGCCTCTAACTTAGGCTGTGAAAGGGAAAAGTTAAACATTTGCCGAAGTACAGCCCAAGGTAGATGCTGATGAAATCTCTCATCTCTTTCTGTCTTCGAGGTTCACCTCTAAATCAGAGCTCCCGGGCTGCGGAGGGCGCATCCAGGAAAGGCTTCTGTAAGTAAACACGAGTCCCACGTGGCCTTCTTCTGCATTCTTAACACTGATTTATCACCATTGCAGCTGCTTAGCATTTTGCAAGATGGTCCTTCATTTTTTTTTTTTTACCTTCCTTCTTTACTCTTCTTCTTCGTAGTCCCTGTTTGAAAAAATAAAAATAAAAAAGCTCTGTATTTTAAATATTTTAGACTCAGCAGCCATAAATGTTTCCAGGCTTTGGATAGCACCACCAGGGCTAGGAGAGAAAGATTTTAAAACAGCTGTGAGGCAGAACTTTAAGAAAAAGGAAAAGAAAAAAATAGGAAAGCATTGTTTTTTTAGATTGTCACCAAACGTTCTCTCTCAGAATCAGCCCCATATGTATCTGGAAACTGCTTTTGCACTGTCTGAAGAAGAAAAGCTTCCTATTTCCTAGGAGAAAGGAGATCATCTTTTCTAGCTCTGGAGGCACTTAAGTTACTTTCTGGGAAGGTTAATAAGAAAAATAACTCTGGGAATGGTGTGTCTATCAAGGGCTATTAGGAGGTTTTCAGGAGAGAGGAAACAGAAGGACCGGTGCTCAAAAGCAGTTGGCATCTCCTGGAGGGTCACTTTTAATCCAGGGTTGTTATATTTCAAACTGAGATCAAGGAAGAGAAAGGTTGCTTTGGCCTCCATGGGATCAATCAGGCTGCCTTTTCCAAACCTCCTGCCGGTAAATGCTGTGCTTTCCTCCTTGATTCTGGGACCGTGTGTGTGGGTGGGAGGTGAAGGACCAGCCACCATCTCCTGCTCTTGAAGCATCTTCCCCACCAGCCACACCTTCCCCTTCATTGTCTGAGTTCTTTGAAAGCAGAAAATGAAGAAGACGCGGGGGCCACCATACCTGGTGACACATCACTGGAGTAGAATTCATCACCCTCTTAATTCACTTATAATGACAGAGTCCTGATTTGTGCATCTAATTACTGAAGCCTAATTAGTTGTCTGTGCTGAAATCAACATGGCACAGTAAAATACTTGCCACCTTCCCAGGAATGAGATCTGGGAAGCCCCTTCTCCACATCTTCATGGAGACTTTATTTACAGTCGTTTTCAAAATAGAGCTTTGTTGCAGATTCAAGTCAGCCCTTCAGACATCAGGGCTGTTCAGCACATGCCTTGAACTAGCTTTGTGAGGTTGTAGGTAATGAAGTTTCCCTTCATGAGTGGAAATGACTAATTTATTAGCATCCTTTGAGGTGGAAAATAGCATGTAGATAAAGGAAAACCCACAGATGCATTCTACAAAGTCTTTAAAGTGCACTGTTGAAAATGTTCCACACCAAGAGTTACCAATAAAGGTAAAAACTATATTTCTGGGATTATCTTTCATCTCAGAAAATGAACCAGCTTAAGAGATAAAAATAAAATGTTCAGAATACACATGAATTTTTGTGTGTGCGTGTAGAAAGAAATGAGATTGAGGGAAAGAATAAGGTTTCTTGGGTTCAGTGTTTCCATGGATTATGTTTAAGATATTTATTTCATGATGTTGATGAGCAGTATGATTTGCATAGGTGAGACTCGCTCCTAAATTTTCTTCTTTTTTAAAGATTTATTTCTTTATGCATACAAGAACTGGGGTACAGGCCAGAGGTGCGGGGGGTGAGAGGATTCACCAGAGACAGAGTGGGGAACAGAACAGGCAGATCTACTGAAATGCACTGCTGAGGGGAGCAGCAGGTGAGTCAGGTGAGGTCTGCTGCTCCTTGTGGGTAGCTCCCTGGCCCAGGATCGAACTTGTGCTGCAGTGCCTGTGGATAGCTTCTGATAGCTTCATAGGTTTTGTCTTAACCCCTTGCGCCACCAGGGAGGCCCTCGCTCCTAAATTTTCTAATTCAGTAGGTCAGAGGCATGACCCAGGAATCTGTGCTTTCAAATCCAATGGACGGTCTTATAATCATAGCTTATTTGTTTTTATCAGAAACTTTACATGCATTAACTATTTTTCCTATAACAATCCTTGGAGATTTTATTCTTAGAATATCTCTTTTAAATTTTAGGAAACTGAAGCACAGAGCAGTGAAACAGTTTCTCCTGATCCCACAGTGGCTGGCATAGCTACAAATACGTAGCAAAAAGAAAAAAAAGTTTTCTATTGTGACCTAGAAGAAAGTGGATGGCATTGCCGAATTTTGCTAGAAGTGCCCCTTCTGTTTGCTGTTTCTCTTCAGTCATCCATAAGCATAAGTGAGTGCTGTGGAACTTAGGCGTTCAGTCACTCACTGGCTCCATTGTATTCAATGTTGAGAAAATATTTGTTCATTTTCTTATTTATTTATTTATTGCTTAATTGCTCTCTTTTGAACTATATAACCCTGTTGGTAAGAAGGCATTAATAATATGAAAGAACAAATTAGTAACTGATCACTGTTTTGTTTATTGCTAGTAAGGAATCTTTTCCCCTTTGCTTTTCTGTGCTGTGCTCTGTGTGTGTGTGTGTGTGTGAGTGAGTGTGTGCGCGCACGCATGTGTCTTTCAATAGATTCAAACCACTCCATGGAGGCTTAATAGGCAGAAATAATGGACTAAGGAAAGAAAAATGTGAATTCATTTTCAGAAGAACACTTAAAGAAGAAATGACAAAAGAGATATTTATTGTAATATACCTATGGTGTAGAGGATTAGAACCTAGTTTTAGTAGTTAATGGGTATCACTCATGGATTTAGAAGCCAGAGCAAAAGCAACTGTGGAAGCTCTGTATTTGACTAGGGGAAGGACAGGCATCTTTGTTTCAAGATAGAAATGTATGCTTTCTTCATTGACAGTCATATATGGACAAAGGACATCTAGATTAAAAAAGAAGAAATGCCAAAAGAGAGATTTAATGTGATGGACCACAAGCGAGGGGAAGTTGAGATAAAGACCGAACAGAGTTGTCTTGATTTTTCAGCAAGCATCATCTACTCCCAGGGATGGCAGGGTGTAAGGAGATGTAGAGTAAATGTAAAGCCACGGTATTACAAAGTATTATTTCACAATGGCTTCAATCAAGCACACTCAAGTTTGTGCCACAGCCTGCTTGGGGAAAGCTATGAGTTAACAGAACAGAAACTTTCAGCTTCAGGATTTCCATTTATTAATGAATTAATATTGCAGTATTATTAATCATCTTGATCTTGACTGTCAACCATTAGGTAGGTGTTTCATAGGGCTGCCTTTCCTTGCCAGTAAGATCAGAAGCTTATAAAAAAGAGGGACAGTGATTCTTGCTGCACTTTGTCACCTAGCAAAGACTGGGCATCAAAAATTGAATTGAACATATTAAACCAATTTATCCTTAACTTTCTCTTTGTCTGGCTTTGTGATCCAAAAGATGATGTACCGGATTCTGCATTCTTCAATTTAAGGTTTCAGTTCTTTCATTTGATTGCCAAAGGTGAATGAGAGAAAAATGTCGCCTGAGCAAACATATCATATATTGATATAATGTTCATAGGCACATACACGTTCAAAAAGGCAAGTCTTGTCCTCAACTACATTTTAGAATCCTATCATTGTACCTTTATTGAATAGGGTAAGTATCTAAAAGTGATGACTACTCTTCTTGGAATGAATTTCTCACTAACTTGAAGAAATAAAAACCTAAGACTGATCCACAAATAAGGAATTTGCATCCTAAATCTTTCATAGAAATCCCAGGTTCCATGAAATGGCACACTAGTTTTTATCCTAATGCCTATTAGTTAAAGAAAACATGGGTGTTGACTTATGTTGAAAATAAATAAAAGAAAACCTCTTCCTGTAATGCATTTATTTGCCAGTCCCCCAAAGGAATAAACAATCTGTGAATTCAGCATGATTATGTGTTTGCAAAGCATAACGGATTTATTCTAAAATTCTCGCACCTGGAAAAACTGAACTTAAGCATCTTCGGCCTTAGAAAAGCAACTTTATGTTCCTCCCAAAATGTCAAGTCACCCTTGTAGTAATCATATACTTGCAGGAATGGGTCTGGGTGGTGGTGCCGGTGGTAATTGTGAAGGTTCTGATGTAGAAACTGCAGCTGGAGAGCTGGGGCTCTGGGGATGGACGTCGAGAGGAACGGAAAGGAATCTAGAGAAAGGGCTGTCATATTTGCTCAGAAGAACCGCCAAATCAGAAAGCAGAGAAGATTTCATTGGAGGAGCGCCTTCACCAGCAACTAATCCTGTCATATTGAAAGAAAATTGTAAATGTTCTCTCCAGAAATTACCCGCCCATTGCAGCTAATCGAACACACACGCACCAACACAGACACGCTCTCCTGGTCTTGCAAAGGCGCCCGGGCGCAGAGAACAGCTCCACCGAGAGCGCGCGGGGGCGCGGACGCGCACACACAAACACACACGCACATGAACACACACACACTTACACACACACACACAGAGCAGCCTGCGGGTCGGCCACAGCCTTGAGATCGCAGATCCCTGGTAGGAAGTAGCCAGAGACAGCGAAGCAGGTGTCGCCCGCGACGCTGATTACTACTTCCCCCGGCACTTTGGGGAAGACATGAATCGCGCCCAGTGCGTCCATCCATCCAGGTTTCTGTTCCCTTTTGCTCTCCAGACTCATCGTCTTAGTTAAAGCCAGGTTTGAAAGTCCTGTTTGCTTTGGTGGTTTGTGTGGAGGGCGGGGCAGCGTCAGTTTCACTCCCGGGGAAGCCGCGCGAGCAGCGGGCGGGCTCGCCAAGGGGCTGGGACCGGCGCGGGGTGAGCCACTGGGCTCGCGCGCCCCAGTCCCGCAGCTCCGGCCCCTGGCTTGGGTCCGCTCTCCCCGCCTCCCCCGCCCCACCCCTCCGGTGTCGTGGCACCAACTAATCTTTTCCTTTTCTCTCGCAAGATCAAGGGAGAAAAGGAGCGGGCGGGCTTCTGACTCCGAGCGGTGCGCAGCTCGCGCCCGGGCGCGTCAGCCCTGAACCCGCGAAGAGCTCCGCGCTCCCGCCAGCCTGCACCCCGGCATCGCAGCTCGCCGAGGCCACGAGCGCATCCCGCCGCAGGTAAGGGCGCCCGGCTCTCGCTCTCTGCTGCCCCGCGGCGAGGACCCTGGCACGGCGAGGTCCTTCCCGGTGCCGCACCCGGCGCGGAGGGCACGGCGGTGGGGGTGGGAGATGGGTCCTCCACAAGTGCAGATTTTCCACGCAAACTTTGGATCCCGGGGTCTGGAGGGCTGGAGGCAGCAATGGCGGCTCTGGCAGGGGCCAGCGAGGCGCCGCGCGGGCGGGGGCGCGAGGCCGCGGGTCGCCGAGTGCAGGGGAATGTGGCGAAGGCAGCGTGCGGGACCTCGGCGCGTCTTCCAGCCCGAGAGCCCCGCCACTGCCAGCCGCCCCCTCCCCCAGTCCAGACGCCCTCCCTGGAAAGCCCGGGAGAGCTTCGCCCTCTGCTGCCCCTCGCTGTCCGTCCTGCCGGGGGTCTGCCCGCGGATTGCTGGCTTTTAGGGTGAAGGCCGGCTGGCCCCAGCTCCGCGCGGTCCCCCAGTCCCACCAGGTTCCCCGGTTATGCCTGGCCAGCAGCCCCCCTGGGCGTCCGCAATGGCTCCCCTGAGGCTTCGCGCCGCTTTGCTGGACCCTGACCACGGGGGAGCGGGGACAGGAACGGTGCACGGGTCCCGGCACGCGGGCCGGGGACGCCTCTGTCACTCCATCCTGTCTCAGCCCGCCTGTGAGATGCGCTCTCGGGCCACCCCTGGGGGACAGGGTCTCAGAGAGGAGCCGCGAGGTCCCAGACCTCGCCTGGGCTGGGCCTTGGGCCACCGAGGCGAGGTTCGGGGTCGGAGCTAGGGCGTAGCTGCATCCCGCACGTCCTTGAGGTCCGCACCTGCGGAGCTGGGGATCGTGCTCACTTGTGGCGCCTGGAACCCGCGAGGTGCGGTGCCAGCCCGCGCTGGGCACATCGCGCAGAAATTACCCCTGTGCGCTCACCCTGCGCCCCTGCGGCGCCCCGCGGAGCAGAAGGGACGGCCCGACCCGACCCGGCCGGGCTCTCAGAGGTGAAGATTCCCTGCTCCCCCCACCCCCCCAAAAAAAGCGACACACACCCACTGCCTCAACCCCTCCAGGCTCTTCATCCTTTTCTCTGGCCTCTTGCGTGTCGGGTCGTCGCTGTTCTGAGCTACAAAACCATCTCAGGGAGGGTCCTCCGACCTCACCAGTCCCTGGCTGGGAAACAAGGCTGCTTCTCGCCTGCATGGAAGTAGGCGCGGGGAGACTGTCTGGGTGCAGAGAGGCGGAGGAGAGCAGAGACATGGAGGCAGATGCCTAAGGCAAGCCGAGCTGCCCGCCGACATCTCACCCAAGCTGCCCTTCCGTGTCCTCATGTCAGTTCACGGCCACTGCACGTCTGTGACTCAGGCCTCCAGGCTCCGGAGCCCGCCGCCCCGGCGCGCCACGCCAGCCAGCGAGAGCGCGGGGCTCCCCAGCGCCCCAGCTCCGGAATCCCCCACGCTGACTTGTTATTTCCCCCTCGGCTTTTCTTTTTTTGGTCTGTTTTGGTTTTTGCTCTTTTCCCTAGAACTCGGTGGTATTGGGCACGTCATAGCCGGCTGTGGGGCTGGTGGGTCCCCCAGTGCATGCAGCCAGCAACACAAACACCCGGCCCCACGCTCCACCGCACACCCGCCCGCGCCCGGGGTTCCACAGCGCCGGGAGCCCGCAGCGCACTCCTGCGCTCCGTGGCAGCCTTGGCCTGGGCGCCACCCAGGGTCAGGAGGGACGAGAGGGGAGTCAGCCCAACTCCTGACAGAAACCGTGGGGAGACAAGAAAGGTCTGTGGAAAAACTCGAATTTGGGGTGAGAGTTGGGGAGCTCAGGCTCCAGCTGTGAGAGTTTTTGCTGCTGCTGCTGGTGGTCATGGTGGTGAGGCTGCCCCTCACTTGCCCAGCCTGGCAGCAAGCAGAGTCCCAGGTCAGGACCCACCCAGGTCAGGAGACCAGGTTTGGGGGGCTAGCACCTCACTTCACTCCAGGCATTTCTGGCTTGTGGGGTGAAATGTTGCTGAAAGGGACCCAGATCCTAAACTCCAGGTGCTCAACTTGGCTTTGCACAGTGAAGCTGAGTGCTTTGTATTTGGGTGGCAATCTGTACATATCATATGGAAATAGAGATGGCATGGATGTAGTCCAAGTTCATTGATAAACACACAAGGATAATGATACACTTTGGAGATGATACACACTCAGGAAGGTCTGTGTGGGCATCTCTGGGGCACAACAGGGCCCTGGTGATCACAGAAGGAAGCTACTGGATTTGGCCAAGAGACAGTTTCACACTGAGAACTGTATGAGGTTGTGATTCAGAAATTGAACTTTTGAGACTCTTGTCAAATGGATGAAAGAATTTGGTGCCAGCCATGTCGCAGCTTGGTGGGATCTGGCAGCTAACGTCTCAATAAGCAATAAGTTAATGCCAGATGAAATGCTAGTGTTCTTACTATTATTAGCAGCGTGTTCCGGGGTGCAATACAGGAGATGAGCAACTTCTGTTGACTCTATTTGCTTTGCTGGGCTAAACAATTGTGTCAATGCAAACTGAAAAATTAGATTGACCCTAAAAGTATATGGCAATTCTAGCCACACCCGCTGACTATTTAAAAACTCAGTGAATGGGGTGGGGTGGGAGTAGGGGAGAAACCTTGGGACCCCGGAATTCAGAGAGAGCTTCCTGCTCTGAACTGACATCAGAGCAGATGTGGAAGAGATTAGCAGTCAAAAACAAGCAAAAGCCCCTTTGGAATAAGTTCCCACAGTCTCTCAACTTTGGAGGGCAGAGGCTGCTATTTCACACTTAAAAACCACATTCCTCCAAATGTGGCCCTATCCCCTGCTTTGCCCGGGTCGGTACTCATTGTTAGGCAGCTTGGTGTCCACAAGTGTACAGTGGCAAGTTTCCAGTGCTAATTCCCAGGCAGCCAACCCCCGGGGCACAGGAGAGAGGGGCAGCTTCAGATGTCTGAAGAGCACAGCCGTACCCAGCCTGCTGGCTGCCAGGGAAGTGGGGTGCCCCAGCCACGGAGGAGGCTGGGTTGGAGACAACTGTCTCCGACCCACACCTATGAAGAAAGTTATAGCAAGTGCAAGAGGATGGAGAGGAACCATAGAAAAATGGGAATGAAGAGGGGTGGGATTTTTTTTAAAGGAGGAGGAGCATCTGAGTGTGCAATTAACAGCCAGTGGGACTGGGTTCGGCCTCCATCTCCCATGTCGGTCTTTGACACATGCCTGTGGGAGAATGCCTATCAGTAATCGTCTCCATGCAAGGGCTCAAACCCACACTTCATCTCATCTCAGTCTTTTTACTTTGCTCAATAGGATCAAAAGACTGGCCGCAGATCTTTGTCACATGGTTTCCTTCGAGGATAGGTTTTCTTCTTTTATGTGTGTGTTTCAGTGGGTCTGGCATTTTATGATGTGGACTTAGTTATTATCTCAGTGGAGTCCCACGTATCAAGTCCTGCCAGTATTCTCTTGGTGACTATCAACAGCATCACCTGTCCCCACTTTGCCTACCTTCATGTCATGGAGCAGGTGTTGAGAGTGATTTTGATGAAGGGTCCTGGAGCATAGTACGCAATGCTTCCCCACAACTCAGCTGGCTTGCTGGGTATGCGGTGATATGTGTTTGGTGGGGGAGAGGGAGAAAGAGAGAAGGTTGCTTCTCCTTGGAAATACCTTTCCATAGAATGTGCTAAGTCTCAGGCTCTGTCCTCAGCACCTTATATGGATGACCTCACCCATTCTGTCCATGTTTTATCCTTACTGCCTAAGATCATGCCTACAACATCCTAGAGGTTACTAGAGATTTGGTGAATGACTGAATAGATAAATCAATTTTCTCATTTTATCACTGCAATGATCCTCTGAAGTAGAGGCATATTTTGTCCACTTTATAGATGAGGAGAGAACGCCAAGGGTCAGGGCACGGCTCAACACCACACGGCTGGTCTGTTGCAGCCCTGGATTCAAACACAACCCTGGGGGACCCCTGTCTTGAGCTCATGTAGCACTGGGGTTTCTCTATAAACAGTGGTAGTTGCAGCTCCTTTTCCTTTGATTGGGGAAATCAAAACTGTTCAGAGTTCAGTGATGTTTTCCCCAGCTATTTAATCAATTCTGCATATTCTTGTTAGGTGCCCTGAACCCTCAGCAAGGAAGAGTCAGTGCCAACTAGATTCTTCGTTGGTGTAGCATGCTGGTTCTGATTAATCAGTGATTGCTGCTGGCAGAGGCAAGAAGGGCACAGGAAGTACCTGAGGTTTGAGCAGATGACATTTCCCCCCAGAGCTGTTCTGAAGTTGTCTTTTGTCTCAGGCGAAAGGATGGAAGAGAATGGATATCTCTCCTTTAACTCCTCATGGCTGTGGAAGGGCATGAAGCAGCTTTTCGACCGTAGGGCTATTGATCAAGAACTGCCTAAGAACACACATACCCCAACTTCTAGGATAGTTGCTTCTTCATTTTGTCACCCTGAATGAGTTCCACTCTCTTTATTGAGCTTGCTGGCACTTAGGGCTCTGAATTTCAATGGCGACTGTTCATTTTATTTAGAATGTATTATCTGCCTTTGCTTTGAATGGTAGAAGAGGACTGAGAGAAACTGCTATGAGCAGAGAGTGAGGTAGGTTGGGCAGGTTTGCCTCCTTCAAGGATTCACATATTCTTGTCTTACTTTATTTCATTTCCCTCAACTCCCCCCTCCCCCCCAACATGTTCAAGCTGCTGCTTTTATACTGTGACCTAAATATACAATCATCTTAACTGGTTCTGTTTCCATGGCAATGTTTCATGGTAGATAAGGGTACATACATACTAAAAAATCAGTTTCTTTCATTAGCAATGGGATTCCTTCTCTGTTCCCCACTCCCAAATCCTGACAGTCACTGAATGACGCCCTCTGGTGTTCAGTAAGGGGAAGCACATGACTTTGGGCCGGACGAAAGCCTTTTTTTTTTTACAACTGAGAGAATTTCAATTTCAATTATTATTGGAAACGCACATAAGCAAAAG